GATAATTGGGATGGGAGTGTCAGAGACAGTGCGATTGGCACAGGACAGAGCGGAGTTTAGGGCTGTTGTACATAGGGTCGCTATGAGTCGCAGGTGACTCGACGGCACATAACAACAACAACAGTAAAACTGTGTATAAAAATTTAACCTTGACCAAAGAGAGGTCAGGCCACTGTCTTCAGCCCCTCAAATTTAGAATATTTGAGGGTTATTAAAATAATGTATCTTCACTCCTAATTGTTCCAATGTTCTCCCACTGACAGACAATAATGCACATTGCTTTTCACGGGAGTAGAATATACACCAGAACAGACATATTTCGCTCAGTTTTGAGTTTCCAAAAAGAAGAAAGGAAGTATTTTGTATTGTTTTGTTTTGTTTTCTTTCTTTTTTCTAAACCTCTAACAAAGAAAGAATTAGAAGGATCATGTTTTTTAGTTGCACAACTAAACTTTATTGAGAGAAAAAAAATGGTGGCCCGGTGGGACAAAGTTGCACTACCAATCTATAGTTAAGTGGTGCTGCATAGGATAAATATGGGCAATCTCCTCCCTTACAATTTACAGCCTTTGAAAACTCACTAGAACATCAACTATGACTCAGTTCCGACTCAAAAGCATATAACAATACTTAACTCACATGTTTAAATAGTTTAAAACATAGGTAGAGTATGCAGATTCTATAGGAAGAAGAGAAGAACTTCATTTGGCCCTGGCTTGAATGGCTTGTGGAAAATAGACTTGGAAGAGAAACATTTCCATTTTTTCAACTCTACTTGGACTTGGTGTAGCAAAGAACTAATAGAAAATTTGTACATTTCAAGGACAATACTTGATTTGGGGTGGCTGAAGATTTAAAATTTTACTTAGAGAATCCCAATATTGAACATTTCACCAAAACAAAAAACATGAGACCTAGACATGGCTCTGAGGAAGGAATCTGGGAAAATGACAGGTCCAGAGTCCATTAATTATAGAATCAAGTATCAAAAGAAACAGTGAACTGAAGGAAGGCTGGAGTTGACTATGAAGTTATTAACGCTGAGGTTATAAGTTAATTGGTGTCTCAAACCCCATACTATTGCCCAAATATCAGGGTTGCAGTGTCGATCCTCTTAGGGATTGAATTGTCTCTCCCAAAAATTTATGCTGAAGCCCTACGTCCTGTATCTGTAAATAATATGTTTTATTTAATCAAATATGTTTTTGATGATGGTATACTCAAGACTCTTCACTAACACCACATTGAAAACCGGGAGAGGGGGAAAGGGGTGGTGAGGGATATTGGAAGAATCTGTTCTCGAAATCAATGTATTTGAATTTTGTGAATAAACTAGTAAAAAATAAAAACAAAACAAAACCATATATTCTTCTTCAGTCTTTCTGATTCATTGGCCAACTTTCAGGTGCATACTTACCAACAGAAAATATC